TGTTGATAAAAATACCTGCAGTTATACATTGATATTCTAAATTTCCTGGTCCAGAAAATAATTTAGGATCTTTGAGTGAGTGTAATTTTGCAATTTTAATATTTTCAGATGATGCATCTACGCCTAAAACTGATGCACCTAATCTTACCAAAGACTTTTGAAATAATTAAAAGAAAAAACTGTTTGTTTAGTCAAAATAATCCAATAAAATAAATTTTAATAAATAATAATAATAGTAATAAATTAACTTCGGATAAAAGTCCACCACCACATCCAACATCTAAGATACGTAAACCTTTAAACGGAAGATAATCATTATTATTATCATGGCTGATGTTGTAGTTGGTTGATATTGAATGATGTTTAGTTAATTGTTTTTGTATATACGATACTCGTAAAGGATTCATGCTATGAAGTAATTTAATTGGTCCATTATAAGACCACCATTCTTGCGCCATTTGACTAAATTTCGAAATTTCTGATTCATTTACGCTAGAAATATTTCTTTTAAAACTAACACAATATCAATTATAATACAAAAATAAATAAATATAAATGTAGATTAATTAAAAATTTACTTGATTCTGTGACGAAAAGTTGTGTTTGTTTGCTCAATGAAGAATTTTGAAAAAAGAATTTTATTTGCATAATTCAAAATATTTATTTTTTTATGCATCTTTTTTTACAAGTTATACAAATTCGAATTTTCTTTTTTTTTAATAAATAAAAATGGTCGGTCAACTACACAAATTGCAAGTTTTTTTAATTTAAAAAATATTATTAGTAGTAATAACATCATATCAATATTACTACATTGGTGGCATTAGTAGTAATATTATATTAAAGTAGTAGTAGTAATAGTAGTATTATTATTAGTGGTAGTAATAAATTTTAAAACCAAATAAAATATGAATTTTGGTAATGAAAAATCATTATCAGTGCCACCATCGTCACAATCATCATCATCGTCATCGTCATCGTCATCGTCAACGACGACAGATACAGATGATGGTGATGATAGACTATTAACTAGATTTGCAGGATTTGCAGGAAATGTTAACAATATGTTGGGAGCAGTCAGTATTTTTCTTTTATTTTGATCTTTTGTGAATATCTTTATGAATATGTATTTATTTATGAAATGGCATTATTTATTTAATTTTAGGGAATATTTTCCACGCCAGGAATTGTTTGGCAAAAAGTATGTGTTTATAGTGTATACTTGATATATATACTTTTAAATATTTATTTAAATTTGAGAATTTTTTTTTAGGTTGGTTCGCCTGGCGCCACGTTGATCCTATGGATATTAGGTGGGTTTATAAGTATGTGCGGATCACTTACATATGTTGAGGTAAATAATAAAAAAGAAGCTATAACAACCAAAAGGTTATTCATAATCCTAATTAAATATTGGGATATACCTAAAAAATTATTTTACTAATTAAATATATTTATTAAAAAGTTTGGACTCATCACTTTAGAAAGTGGTGGTGAAGTGGCTTTTTTTAAAAAAGCATTCCCTAAACCCAAAAGGCTTATGAGTCATATTTTCAGTTTTGTATGGGTTAGGTAAGTTTATAAAGAATTATGCATATAATAAATTAATTAATCAGATTTTATTTTATTAATAATTTATTACTATTATTGTTATTATTTAGTGCGATAAGACCTACATCCCTAGCAGCAGTATTGCAAGCCTTTTCGCAATATTTTTTATTTACTATTTTACAACATCCTAATGAGAACGAAAAAATCGAAAATTTCGAAAAATATTGTAATGATGTAAGAGGATTTCAGAAACAATTACATTCAAGTGACATCCAGAGTCTTGATTTTTGGAGAATAAAAGCTATTGGTATAGTAGCTTTGGGAATCATTACATTTTATCATATTCGTTCAAATATGTATGCAAATTTAATAAACCAAGTATTGGCCGTAATTAAAATCATCACTATATTTATCATAATAATAATTGGTCTTGTTGCACCCTTTGTAATTGACATAAATACTGCCAATTGGACAAACCTGTTCCAAGGTACCACTCCTACAACTCCAGACGTTGCTAGTGCTTTAATTTCAGTAAGTTATTCATATTCATCACTCATTAAATAATATAAATCTAAATTATCCTAATATGTAATTATGAATTTTTCACCATCTGAAGGCTTTCTTTGCATATGAGGGTTGGAATAATTTGAACTGTTGGTATCTTTAAATGATTGAAATATTAATTATATATTTAATTATATATATATTGTTTATAATTTATCTTGTATATATTTTTTTAATTAAATAGATTCTTTGGATGAATTCAAAAATCCTAGAAGAAATTTAAAGTACAGCAATAGTCTTAGTGTTCTTGTTGTAACTATATTATGTATGTTAAACTTAAAATATTAATGTTATTATCATTGTATATATATATTTAATTAATAATCGATTTACTTTTTTATTTACAGATACTCTTATTAATGCTGCCTTTATAACAGTTTTACAGCCAGATGAGGTAATTAAATTTGGGAAGGATCCTAACGAAGTGATAGCAGGGTTTTTTGGTAAACGGATATTCGGTGACATTTTTTCAAGAGTATTGACTTTACTTGTTTCTCTGTCGGCTTTTGGTGCAGCATCTTCTATGACATGGAGGTTAGAATAATAATGTTTCTTTTTTTAAAAAATATTAAGAACTAAATAGCTTATTTTATTGTTTTTAGTGGTTCCCGTGTCATTGTGGCCTCTGCAAGAGACGATCTTTTACCTTTCTTCCCCGTTTATTTAAGACAATTACATGATGATTATTTAACACCTTTTAATGCTCTTTTAGCGCAATTTATATGGAGTGTGATAGTTTTCATAGCTGTTGGTGCATTTTCCACAGACTCATTTAAAGTGTTATCAGATTTTAACATATATCTTGTGTGGATTTTTTATTTATGTGCTAGTATTGGTTTGTTGGTAAATAAAAAACCATTTCTATATAAATTCTCTTCCTTTATTTAATATTATTTTGATGACAGCAATCTAATATTTATTTATATTTAATAAATCAGTGGCTTAAATATAAAAAACCAAATCTTCACCGATCATTTACGGTTTGGTGGGGACTAACAGTCATATTCATGCTTTCCGCAGTATTTATAATTATTGGAAATACAATGACACCAGATAAAACACAATATTCCGATGATACTGGTATATTAGGTTGCCAAGAAGATACAGCAAACCCACCAGAATATATAAAGGTAATCTTAAGTATTGTATTTATAATTGCCGGTGCTATTGCTTGGTATTTTATGGATTATAGGAGACCTCTTCCAGACCAACCAATTCCATAAACTCGTGCGGTTTCATTTTAGTAAAGTGTCATTACTATTACACACATTACACACGTTCGTTCAATTTCTTCACTTTGAAAAAGTGTTGTTTAAACCTTTTTTTTTCTTTGACATTTAATTTATTTATTATTATGTAAAATAAAATAAAATCGAATTTAAAAAATATACTAGTCGTAATCAAGTTTCATACTGCCAGACAAATTTGTTTTTGTGATAAACTTTATAATTATTACTTTCGTCATAATAACGAGTATCAAAAGCTGTCGATCACGAGTGAATAAAAAAAAATACACGTGTTTATTCTTGAATAATTAATTTAACAGTTCGCACAATCTGCAGTAGGCCTAAGGAGAGTGATTGCAATCCTGAAAAATAGGCATAGGAGGAAAACAAATCCTTTGTGATTTTTCTTGCTTTGCCAGAGTTTATACACCCCAGTTTTCATCCAAGAGTTGGGCTGGGTCCCTTATGCGAGTATTGCAATTTTTAGCAGACTGCTTCTGGACTTTCAGACATGATCTGATTTAATATGGTCATTGAATATTTGGTTTGCAACTCAAAAATTAGAAAAATCAGACAAAAATAATGATCGAATGATTGATTATACACCTTGTCCATCAGTGAATGATTATGACATTGAGGAAGATGGTGCAATTCGAAATCATATGGATGAAGGATGTAGTTTCGAAAAGAAAATCAAAAGAAGATACATGCTACAAATGTAGATGATACACAATGTATGATTCAGAAGAAAGCGAGGCGGATAAGAAAAAGATCGCAATACTAGTGCTGAGATACTGAAATACACCAAAAAGAAAAAGTATCTATCATTGAAAATGTCGATGAAGCTTTATTATCAGACGAAGTTCCATTACCATTGAAAAACACTAATGATAGAACTTCTGAGGTAAAGCTTGTTATAAATGTTTAATGAATACGTGTTTAAATAAACTCATTGTTTTATTAATAATGGGGAATTATTTCGTAAATACTAAAAACAAATACCAAAAGTACGTAAAATACTAACGCAAGTTTAGCATAATATATCTATTTGCTAATTTTAGCCCTGCATACTGGGGAGTATTGGATTTAAATAAAGAGAGTATCAAGGACTTTAAAATAGAGATAAAGAAATATATCTGGATTTTTCTAATATAATCCAAGGGAGTAACAATGTTTTCACTCCAAGTTACATACAAAAATATTTTCAACAACGATTTGTAAGGTATGATCATAACATTATGAATACTTTATACTAGCAAAAACCCATTGGTTTTAGGCGGGCCATTGTTTTACGGGTTGTTGAATGGTAAAAAGTTTTTTTAGCGGAGCAAATAATTTTTTTTAGGGTTAATTATCATTCTACTGACCATTTTTACACATTAAAAATACTCGTGTTTAACATCAAGACACAATAAGATATAAGGTTTGAAAAAAGGATACAAGAAACCAAATCGGCTGATATGGATACTTGGAACCGCTCATTTAGATTATAATTGGATGATTGATTGTGATGTATTTCATAGTTACTTTCAAAATATTCATAAACTAGATTGTTATAGTTTCTGGATTTTTCAATAGATTGGCAACTTATGTGGTCTGGCTCAACTAATTAAAGAACTATTCATATAAGCAATATCTAAATTCGTCAGAGTAATTCAAAAAGGTAAACAATTATATTAAATTAACATTATGAGCTAATAATGATGTATGACGAAACTTTTGATTTTAGTCATTGACGTAACTAAACTATTGACTAAAGGTGGTTTCTCACCAGGGCCATTTTGAAGATTTTACTAAAGTAAAATCACTTGATGCAAGTAAAACCATTTGACATAAGTATAACCATTTGACGTAAGTAAAAACGTTTGATATAAGCAGCAATAATGATAATAATAAAGTAGAGAGTTATCAAAAGTTCCAAATTATGTAAAAATATGTGTCCCGGGGATAAATAAAGAATTATTATATCATTGTATGTAATATTGCAATGATGCAAAAAGAGTAATTATCATGGATTTGAATTAGAAATTTCACTTAAATAAGCTACTTATTTTTTCCATGTATTTTCTTTCAAAATAAAATTTCCTTTTCTTTTTTACAAATTAAAACCATTCTTTTATTATTAATTGACTTTATATACATATGAGTTGTATTAAATTGATAATAATGTGCTTGAGCTGTCTTTGGTGCCTGAGTTTGAAGCAACATAGGTTACCACATAAAACAGGTTTTTAGATATTTTTGAGAATGTTGAATTTCTTTTATTGATAAATCTATCACTAGAGTTTGGTTATGAAGGAGTTGTTCTTTAAATAATGCAATTTTCGTTTTTCAATTTAACATCCCTATCAATTAATCAAAAAAAATGTTGTACGAAAAATTGTTTGTTACACGTCATTCAATTCTCTGGAAATAATGTAACCGTTATTCTCGAATTATATTTTATATTTTTACATAATGTCACATAATAAATTATTATTATCGTTATCAACAGAAAGACAGGATTTTGTAATTAAAATTAGTAATGAAATGTACAATAATGCATTGGCTAATCCTGATGAAGAAAGTAGAATCGACTATTTTTTTTCATTAAAGAATAACAAGGAGCTTTCTGAAAGTGAAAAAGAGTATTGTAAGCAAAAGTTTATTTATGAGTTGGAATTACAGAATGTAATATATAAATCAGGCAAATCAAAAGAATGTAACAAGTGTAAATTGACAAGATACTCTGATAGGTTCTGTGAAGGTTGTATTAGTTTACAATTACAGAGTCTTTTCATCACTTGGACATCTGGAAATAACATAGTTGACAACTTTATTCAACAATGTCAAATGAAGTCTTCTCTACCAGGCTATATTTTAGAATGGATACCTTTTGAGCAATTTAAAAAAGTAACAAAGTTGACAGAAGGTGGATTTAGTTCAATCTATACTGCAGGATGGACAAGAGGAATGATTATTGATTATGACGAAAATAAAAGGAATTCAGTTATTTAGGAGCACAATATGTAGTATTAAAAAGTTTAAATAATTCAAGTAATCCAGGAAAAGCATTTTTTGATGAGGTTGGTAGTTGTCATTTAAAACAAAATAAACAATACTGTATTATAATAAACACTAATTGGTGTTTATATTTAATTACAGGCAATAAATTATTGTAAAATTAAAGCACCACTGATTGTTCCTTGCTATGGTATAACTAAATTCCCAGATAATGGAAATTACGCAATTGTTTTAAATTATGTTTCAGAGGGAAATTTAAGGGGCTATTTACAAAAAAATCATTTAACATTAAAAGACAGAATTACAATATTTTATTATTTATGCAGTTCATTATATTTGATACATGAAAAAGATTTAGTCCATTGTGATTTACATAGTGGTAATATATTAATAGATGCAGGTAATTGTTATATTACAGACTTGGGGTTATGTGGACCAGTTGATGAAAAATCATCAGATAAAGTCTATGGAATTGTATCATATGTTGCACCCGAAGTACTTAGAGGAAAAAAGAACACCAAAGAATCAGATATCTATAGTGTTGGGATGTTAATGTGGGAAATATTTGCAGGTTGTCCACCATTTGATGATAGAGCTCACAATCATCGTTTGATTTTTTGATATATGTGCAGAAGATTTACGACCACCAATATTACCTGAAATGCCTGAAGATTATGCACAAATGATGCAGAGGTGTTGGAATGTGGATCCATTAAAAAGACCAACTAGTAGAGAGCTTTGGGAATTTGCTTATGATAAACATAACGAAATTATTAATGATGATAATAGTAATAATATTACTAGTAGTGGTAGTAGTGCTTTGCAAAAAGTACACGAATCACACCCAGATGCATATCATAAAAGTAGAATATTGGATGATGAGATTGCTAAATCAAAAAGCTTAAAAATTTATACAAGTAATGATAGTTCGTTAAATAGTCTTGACTTTAACTCTTTTCTCTTAAATGTTGAAGATAAATAAAACTCTGTTATTAATTAATTAATTGGAACTTACTATCCGTTAATCATTACTGACAATATTTTATTTACATTTGATTTCATTAGATTCTGATAGTTAAAAGAAAGAATTAATGGATGATTAATTTAATCTCCTAAATTATTCGTTATAATTATTCGTCTTTTTTATTTTATCTATATGTGCTGATTTTGTATTAAATAGTAAAATAGTTTTTTTAGCAGAGCAAATAAATTTTTTGGGGTTTAATTATAATTCTATTGACCAGTTTACACATCATGTTTAACGTGTTTAGCGTCAGACACAATAAGATATAAGGGTTGAAAAAGGATCCAAAAAACCAAATTGGCTGATATGAGTTGACAAAAATGAAGCTGTTAAAAGGTTGGGTATTAATAATATCCAGTGTATGTATATTGAATATATATATTCTCAAGAAGGACAAGATGCCAAAACTCCAAATTATGTGTACAGAGGATGAATTGAAGATGTGGGCTATAGTTCCATTGTTTTATGGCGTTTTTATATTGACAAATAACAAAGACACTTGATAAATAAATCAATATTTTCTTTAAAAGAATTTCAAAGGGCACGAAATGAAAAAATTAATCTTTCCTTAAGAGCAAAAGTTGATATAAATTTGTTTTTTTTTCTCTATTAATCATCGTCTAGTTGCCAAAGTTTTTTGATAAGATGCATCCTAATAATTTATCAGTGTATATATATATTATTATTATTTCATCTTAATGGTAAAGATCAGTTAATTTATTAGGTTTACACTTTTCTTTGACAATTAAATTTTTTCAGCTTTATAGATTGCAATAAAATTAATCTCTCTCTTTACAATAATAAATCTTCTTTAAATTTAAAATTGATAATTAATCATCATCAGTAATAAGAAGCTCCTGATCGTGTATTTTGTGAATTCATTGCCTTTCTGTTCACAAATTTTTGATGAATTCGCTACTGGTTGTGGAAAAAGAAGGAGCCGGTCAGTTGTAGTATTTTTATTCCCGCCGACTGAATTTCATAACTAGCACCAGCGGGCTTACTAAATGTATAATAAACTGTTTAATATTTCAAGCCATGTATGATTCTGAAAAATAGATTGAACTGTTTGAAAACAACAATAAAATAATAATATCCTTATCCAAAGCCATTTATTCTCGGTTTCTTTATATCAACGAATCATTATTTGACAAGTCGACAGATTTTATCGGCCCAATTCACCAATTGTAAATGTACAGCATACAAGTATTTATAAAGGATAAATTGATAGTAATTGTATGAAACTGATGTTTTATTAGAAATAAGTAAAAAAATGTTATATTAATAAATTGATTGATTGATGGGATTTTTTTAACGCGAATATCTATATTAATCATCTATACGGAATGAAATATAATTTTTTAAATTATCTTGTATACTTCATAATCTTCTAACAAACAAGTTTCCTTATTACCGGTTTTTAGATACAAATTATTTTCGTAAGTATTATTGTATCGATAAAAGCAGTAAGGTTCGTTCTTGATAGTATTATATAAACACAAACTCTCAAAACCCACCGCTCCATCACAAAATATTTTATTTTCGTAAGAAAAATCAATTCGGCCATAATGAACTATTGCATTTTCAGGGCATCTAACTCTACTCATTATTGAATGTTCTATTTGATTTTTATCAATTTTAAAAATAAAGCTTGTGCTAGTTTTGATGTAATAATTTGCATCTGATGTAAGTCCT